ACATAAAAAGTACTTGTAGGCTATATGGTGCTACCCAAATATTGACTACTACCGTTTTTATCATGTGGGCCCACCCGACACTCTTGTCTCTCACCACTCTAGTAAATGTCTGCCCACCTGTACCAACTTGCCTTCTAACAATGTGGACTGGAAACACAATCGTCATCCTTGTTCTCTCTAGCATCCCCCATAACCACTCAGTCTTCACCTTTTTTTTTCTTTTTCTTTTGGTACAGTGGATTGAACCGACACTTAACCACTGAGCCACATCTCCAACCTTTTATTTTTGTACTTTATTTAGAGACAGTTGCTTAGGGCCTCCCTAAGTTGCTGAGGCTGGCTTTGAACTCATGATCCTCCTGTGTCAGTCTCCTGAGCTCCTAGGATTACAGGAATGTGCCACCATGCCCAGCTTCAATCTCTACCTTTTAGTCTCCACTTCCATTACTGGAAGAGTCTCCTATTTGTTTCTGTTTAACCTTCATTGACTCCATCCTGCTTACCATAAAAGAAATAATCCTCTTAAAATCACACTTGGATTATACCTGGTTCAAAAACATTCAATGTTTCCCAATGCCTGCAGAATAAAATCTAAATTTCCAAGTAGCTGGAATTAAGAACTACTAACTGAAACTGGGAAACCCTTCTTTGAGTTTTCTAAAGCTTTTTCTTCCTGTTTTATCACTGGTTTCAGTCATTTTAGAAGAAGTTTATTTTATTTAAAAATATTTTCCATTGCATCAGAACTTAGACACAGCTGGTTAGAAACACACACACGTGTATGTGTGTGTGTGTGTGTGTCTGTGTCTGTGTGTGTGGTCTTTTTTTTATTGCCCAAGGACTCCAGATCAGAGTGCAAGAAAACCAGTTCAGGAATATTGAATATTCCCATTTTTTTAAGTACTTGCAAGTTGAGGCACTGTAATCATCAAACATAAAACCAGCTGCTGTGCCTGATGGGGTTTTCCTCCAAACACTATCTCTTCCCTTGACTCTCTTTCCCATTTTAGTGGAGGTGCATCTTCTTCCAAAATTGCAACTTTCCCAAATAACTGGTGGATTTGTGACTTGTGATTTTAGACTAAAAGGGTCCCCAGGCTCAGTGGCACAGGCCAGTGATCCCAGTTACTTGGGAGGCTAAAACAGGAGGCTGGTAAGTTCAAGGATGGCCTGGGTAACTAAGTGAGACCCTGTCTCCAAATTAGGGGGAAAAAAAGGTTGGGGATATAGCTCAGTGGTAGAGTGTCCCTGGGGTCACTCCCCAATACAGGGGGGCAAAAATCTTCAGAGCAACTAGAAAATCCAGCAGACATGATCTCTCAGATTTGAACTGCAACGATTGACTTACAAAAGTTGTCTCGACCTCCTCAATCTCAACTCTCCTTCCCAAATCACTGCTTGTATTTCTATTTCTGTAAGAATGCTCTTGCCACCAGTAACCTCCACAGATTTTCTTTTTTTAATATATATATTTTTAGTTTGGGTAGACACAATAACTTTATTTTGCATCTATGTGGTGCTGAGGATAGAACCCATTACCTCATGCATGGTAGGCAAGTGTTCTACCACTGAGCCACAATCCCAGCCCTCTCCACAGATTTTCAAATCCAGTGGTCACTTCTCTGTTTTTGTTTTTTTATAGAGAGAGAGAGAAAATTTTTAAATATTTATTATTTAGTTTTCGGCGGACACAACATCTTTATTTTTTATTTGTATGTGGTGTTGAGGATCGAACCCAGCGCCCTGCACGCATGCCAGGCGAGCGCGCTACCGCTTGAGCCACATCCCCAGCCCTACTCTGTTTTTGTCTTGACTTTTCAGCAGCATTTGACAATCACTGCACTTGAATTTTTTTCCCCACTCTGGTATTTCATGACATCCCAGTTTCCGGTCCTTCTTGATCTTCTGTCCTGTGTTTCACCTTGAAAAAGTGTTCCGGACTTGGTCTGGGGTCTTATTCTTTATTTGCATACTCTCCCTAGATACTTACATTCCGTTTCAGATCTTTAAAAAAAGCCACCTATTTGCTGTGACAACTGAATGTGTGTTTCTAGGCTCAACTTTTTCCTAGAACACAACCCCCTTTTTTTTTTTTTTTTGGCCGCATTGGGGATCAACCCCTGAGTCTTGTGCATGCTAGCAAGTGATCTACACTGAGCAACACCCCCAGCCCTTTACAGCTTTTTCTTTTTTTCTTTTTAATTGGAGACAGGGTCTTGGTGAGTTGCCAGGTTGGCCTCAAACCTTCATCCTCTTGCCTCAGCTTGATGAATAACTGGGAACTCAAGTGGGTGCCATCATGCCCAGCAGAATATGACATTTCTACATCAAACTGCCTACCTGACATGGAGTAATTTCTAATTACTAATGAGCATCTCAAACTTATCATGTCAGCCCATCCAATGTCACAAAAGAAATTTTGGATTTTCATCTCTCAGATCGGCTCCTCCTTTCTCAGTCAATGTACCACCATCCAAAAAATAAAAAAGAAAAGAAAAGAAAAAAAATTAGGAGCTCTGTCTCATCTACCACATTCAATCCATCATCAATTTTATATTCCAAAAACACACATACCTGTAGCACATATTGTTTTGTGCTACCCAGGGCCTGCTTGAGGACCTGAGTGCTGGGAGTCCGAACTGCACAGCCTCTGACCTTGCTGGAAATTGCCTTGAGCTGAAAAGAGCCTCACTCAAGGTCATACCCCCTTCCTGGGGGCAAGCAGCCCACACACAGTGACTGGGAAATGCTAACATGTACAGGATGTGCCCCTAACCACAAAGCAGGACAACTCTGAAAGGCTCCTAAGCTTCTGTGCTGCCTGTGGGATCAGCGAGGCCTGAGGCCCTCCCTGAGATGGCTCACACCCAGATTCCCTTTCTGTCTCTCTTATTTCCTCTGGTTCCCTGTCTCAGGTGTTGGTCCTGAGAGCCCTGCATAATAAACATTCTGCACCAGTGTTAATTTTCTGTTTTCCTATCATTGTGACAAAATACCTGAGATAATCAACTTAAAGAAGGAAAAATTGGTTTGTGGTTTCAGAGGTTTTATTCCATGGTTACTTAGCATGATGGCACTGCTCACCTAATGGAGGCTGGAAAAAGGAGGGAAAGAGGGAAGCAGAGGGGTCCCAGATTCTCCTTTAAGGACATGCCCTCAATGATGTAACGTTTGTTCTCCAGGTCCCTAAATGATTAATATTTTGGTGATATTGGAGATTGAATTCAGGGCTTCACACATGCCAGACAAGTGTTCTACCACTGAGTGACATTCCCAGCACTTTCTTTCCTTATTTATTTATTTATTTTTAATTTTTTTTCAGTTTTTTTTTTAAGTTTTTAGGTGGACACAATATTTTTATTTTACATTTATGTGGTGCTGAGGATTGAACCCAGTGCCTCACACATTCTAGGCAACTACTCTACCACTGAGTCACAACCCCTGCCTCTCCTCTTTATTTTTTAAAACTTTCAGTACTGGGGATTGAGTCAGGGGTGCTTTACCACTGAGCTCCATCCCTAGCCCTTTTTATTTTTTTTTTTTATATTGAGACAGGGGTTCACTAAATTACCCACGTTGGCCTTGAACTTGTGTCAGCCTCCTGAGTTGCTGAGATTACAGGTGTGCACCATTGTGCCCAGCTCCTTCTTAAGATCTTCCAATGACTTCTCCTCACACTTAAATAATTATAATGCAAACTATCCTGGCCTATGAAGCCCAGAGATCCTTCCTGGCTCAGGACACATTGCTGTCTACCTGGCACCTTGCCTCGAGCATATTGAGTTCAGTCCTGCCTTTAAAACACTGGCTCCCTGTCTCGCATACCTTCCCCCCACTATTTTTCCCCCCACATGACTGACTCCTTCTTATCATGGGGTTTCACTTTAAATGTTACCTTCTCATAGAGGCCGATCCCTGTCCAGCCTCCCCATTTCTTTATAACATTATACTTCTCTCTAGAGACCTACTTTTAGCTGACATTAGTCCGTTTGTTGTCAGAATTCCCTACTACCATAAAAAATGACCAGACCAAGGACTGAGTCTGTGCACCACTATCCTCTCATGGTTTAAAGCAGCTCTTGGCACATAGTAGGGATCAGTACATATTTGTTGAATGATTAGAACTTAGTGTTGGCTTTTTACTTCCTTTATATAGGACCCAGTTCTTCAATGCTTCATAGTTCTACCACTTCCTATTATCTCAGTCCAGCTTGCTTTGTTAATTTACTTATCTACATGCCTCTGTGTGCAAATTTGAATTTTCAATCCCTATTCATAAATAACTCTGCAATTATCTTCAGCATTTTGAGAGAAGAGGCTTTTTTTTTGCTTCCTTCCACGTCATACATAGGTGGGGAAGGGATTAGGAATTAACATTCATCGAATATCTCCAACCTGTCAAGCACAAAACTATGATCTATTTCCTCACAACAATGCTGTGTAGCAGGGTATTGTTATTTATAACCATTTTACAGATGAAGATGTTGAGGTTTAGCATTACAATAAACAGAGCATCTGGGATTGAAAATCATCTGGGCAACCTAAACTCAGTATGAATTATTGCACAAGAGTTACTCATGTCTGAGGAACAAGTAGCTATTTTCAATCTGTGGCATGGAGATTGAGCAGTTGGATATCTCAGGTCAAGTTTTGCTTGAGCAGTCCAGGTATTTTCTTAGTTTTCAATTTCATTCCACTGAGTGTATAAAGAATTGGCTGGAGGTATGTCTATATTTGGCTAGAAGAGGCTTTGAAATGTTGGGCATGCCCTCTACATGAGGGTTCTGCATAGCTAATACATTAAATGTCTGTTGTTGGCAAATATTATGGAATGTAGCAGCAAGAAGATTTTCTGAAGATAGTTATGTGAATCAAGCCATTAGTTCACACTGGGCAAAGACGGAAACCAAATGTACCAAAACGTGTACCACATCACCAGGCATTCCTTTAAGTAACAAAATCTTATTTTTATTTTTATTTTTTACAGAAATTCAGATATTCCAACAAATTTCTTTACATTTCCTGGACCTTAAAAAAATTACACACAACTTTTGGACGTAATACAACAGAACAGAATGAGAAAGGGAGTCACTTTTCTTTTAAAAAGATAAAAACATACTTCTTATACTTAATTAACATTTAGTGATTTACATGTGTATTATCTATGTACAATGGTACATCATCAATGACCCATCTTCATAACACTGTGTGATATTAAATTACACTTAGGTTTTATGGCAAAGATTTTTTTAAAAAACATTTGTATGTGGATAGGAAGTACTTTTTCATTTTTGGTAACACCACTATTGGTGATGTAGGACTCCTGATGGGATCTGTAATTTACATAGATTAGAGAAGGCGAATACCTCTGCTTTTATTGTAGATAAAGTAGAGAGATACCTCCCTTTAAATAAAAGATGAATTCTTAAAAAGTTGTGTGTAATTAAATTTAGTAAGTAAGGTGTTCTGAGTGCAACAGGACAGCTAATACTTAACGCAACAAATAACCCCCAGAATGACTAACACTTTAGTTACAGACACTAGTATTCCCTTAATTTGGTTCTTTGGGAAAACCACATCTCTGTGAATTGGGTTTCACCTACTTCAGTGTACCTATAATATACTTTTAGCCATTTGAGAGATGATCCTGATTGTGGTGAAAAGATGACCAGTACCAGAGACATCTGGCTAAAATATGAATGTGGTCCTAGAGAGAGGAGGTCAATCCTGATCCACGTCAGTTCTGATGTTCTAGCAATATATGCTGACTGGATCTTAGTTCTGAGCCCATGAGTGAAGGCATTCTATACATCTGTGTTTTCTGCTTAGGTGTAGAACATTAGTTGGCTTCCACTGGGTAACCCTGCATGTGCTTGTGCTCTTTCTCAGGTAATTGGCTATTCCAATATTAAATATTTCTCTGTTGTTGAATAGTGGCAGGGTATGTCATGAGGGCAGTACGTTATGGTGGGGGGAACCTGGGATCAAAAGATTGTTGAAGACAACTGGTTAGCTATAACTACTTCCAAATCCCAGCCAACTAAAGAAAATTTGAGGATTTTTGAAGTCAACATTAATAAAAAGGTAACTTATTCCTACCAAGTTTCTTTGACCTGTGTAAGTATATAGTCATTTATTTCTAAAGCTATTAAATTATTATTTATTTTGTTAGTACCACTTACTATCATTTAGAAATAGGTTTAATGAAATAATTAAAAGGAACAAAAATGAATACCTGTCAGTAAAGGAAATAAAGGATATGGATTTCTGATGACATGAAGGGCAAAGAAATAGAAAAAAATCAGATATTTTAGATATCTATTAATAAAGTATATTAAATTCCTATGTATATGCTAGGGAGAATTAGAAAAAAGTGTTTATTTGATAGCAGCCTATATATTACACGTGAGCATCTAAGGTGAAAATGAGCTTTCTATGTTTTTCAGAGTTCCTTGATGCCATTTCCTGACAGTTTGGGAAACCTATTTTGCTTGGGAAACTATGATGTAAAGATGTACTTCCTGTAATATACAGCTCGACAGAGTAATAGTATATGTCAGAAACACTTTCTCAGTAATAACTTGTACAGACACATTAAACTGAACACAGACTTGGTAAAAAGTTTGAAGCGTTAAATCTCTTAATAACTGAGTGGTTGTAACTAATTACACAGTGAAATAAAGATAAAGTAGGGATGGAAAAACCAAAGGTCAGAGGCATTTCCTAAGATGCTTCCTCAATAAATGACACTTGATCAGCCTCGTGGCTATTGAGATAGGAATAATCTAGAACTAACTGCCCTTTTTTTTTTTTATGGTATTGAAAGATTAAAGCTTTTTGTTTTCAGTTTGATTAAAAAAGGACAGTTTACAAACCTCAGTACATATGTATTTTACATGTTAATTCTAGCACATTTATATTCCTCCTCCTTAAAATATTTCCTGAATATGATTTTTCATGAATGTTATCTGATCTTATTCAATGACAGTTTTCCAATGAGCTGGTGTTTAATCCATGATCACGTCTCTCTCCAGAAAATCACTTCCATCTCTGCAGATCTAGATCCATATTCATCACTGGACTCTGATCTCTCCCAAGAGTCTTCCTTCTTGATGTTGATGTACAAAAGCTGTTATTCGATTTGTTTAGCTGTTATTTGATTTGTTTTGTGCTCATTCTAGAGAATATTGGCTTAGCAGAACTGCAGAAAGGGGAGGGAAAAGAGAGAAACGATTAGAAGGAGAGAAAAGAAAATGTACCATTATCTGTCAGCAAGATTTTTGTGCACAACATTCATCATGAAAAAACACTAACAAATGGTTCAATGCACTTTAGATCTGCTACCAAAGCCTTAAGTTTGAGAATTCTGTTTCATTAAATACACCGCACAGCTGGGCATGATGGTGCATGCCTGTAATCCCAGAAGCTCAGGAGGCTGAGGCAGGAGGAGAGAGTTCAAAGCCAGCCTCAGCAAAAGCGAGGCGCTAAGCACCTCAGTGAGACCCTGTCTCTAAATGAAATACAAAATAGGGCTGGGAATGTGGCTCAGTGGTTGAGTGTCCCTGAGTTCAATCTCCAGTACCTCCAAAACAAAACAAAACAAAACAAAACAAAACCCCACTGCACAGTCTTTCCAACAAGGAATCTTCCCTAAAACCCACATATTACCTGTATTGGGTCAAAAGTCTAGCTGCTTTGAATGAGCAAAGAATGTAGAATGATCTGAAGCATCAAGATCCTCCTAATATGGAAGGTGTCTCATACATAACTTTATGTCCAAGTTATGTATGTGTGTATTTATTTTTGACATCTGGGACTGAACCCAAGGGTATTTTACCACTGAGCTACAGCCCCAGTTCTTTTTATTTTATTTTGAGACAATGTATCACCAAATTGTCTTCTGAGGTTGGCCTCGAACTTTGTTTTTCTTTTTTCAACCTCTATTTATTTATTTATTTTTTATGTGGTGCTGAGGATTGAACCCAGTGCCCCACATGTGCTAGGTGAGCGCTCTACCACTGAGCTACAACCCCAGTCCCTGGCCTTGGACTTTTGAACCCCCCAAGTCACTGGAATTACAGGTGTGTGTCACCGTGTCCAGCCCAAATTTTATTTTATACTCAACATTTATAATAGCTACAAAAGAAATGATTATCGGGAGATCACAGTAATCATGACCTGGGCACAGTGGTGCAATCCTGTAATCCCAGAATCTTAGGGAACTGAGGCAGGAGTATCACAAGTTCCAGACCAGCATTAGCAGCTTAGTGAGACCTTGTCCAAAAATTAAAAAAAGGGACTGGGAAGGTGGCTCAGTGGTAAAGTACCCCTGGGTTCAATTCTTAGCACCAAAAGAAAAAGAGAAAGAAGAAAAGAAAAAGAAAATCACCCACAAATCCAATCACCTAGACTTATCAACTGTTTTCTTCCCATGTCTTTTTCTGTTCCATATGTAAATGCAAACCTATTTTATCTAGTTGGAATCATAGTATAGATGACATTTCTTATGTGTGTGGTGCTGGGGATTGAATCTAGGGCCTCACACATACTAGGCAAGCACTCTACAACTGAGCTACACCCCAATCCCTATAGATTACACTTTAAACATTTTAATATTATATTTAAAATAATTTTATATACTTCCACTGTCTACATCATCAGCCTCAATTTCTAATGGCTGTATAATAATCCATCCTGTTATCATTCCTTTCCATTCCATGCTCAATATTCCATTCTCAACTCTTTTACCCTTGTCAGATAGATGTGGGTTTTGATTGCTTCATTATTATAAATAATGAAAATCTTTATTCTTTCTTTAAAAAAATTTTTAGTTTATAGGTGGACACAATGTCTTTATTTTACTTTATGTGGTGCTGAGGATTGAACCCAGTGCCTCATGCATGCTAGGTGAGCGCTGTACCTCTGAGCCACAACCCCAGCCTAATCTATTCTTTTTCTTTTTTTTTCTTTTAATATCTTTATTTTTTTTGTTTTAGAATATTTTATTAGTTTTAATTAGCTACACATGACAGTACAATGATCTTGACAAATACACTAATCTATTCTTTTAATTTTTTTCTTTAGAACAAATTCTCAGGGGATGGTTGCTTTTCTTTTCTTTTTTTTCCCTCAACAGATTAGGGACTATGTCTGGGTCCACATGTCTAGATCATACCTATTCTTGGATGATTTTTAAAAAATTTTATTTATATGTGACAGCAGAATGCATTACAATTCTTATTACATATATAAAGCACAATTTTTCATATCTCTGGTTGTATACATAATATCTTGGATGATTTTTGTAGACTTCGGCAGTACTGATCTGGGCTTATGGCTATCTTATATATTTTGAGGATGGGTAAATACATCTAGCTGGCCATGGTGTGGCAGATTTGGGCTGACAAGAAATAGGCTGTCTGGTTTGTATCATATAGCATTTTGAAATACAAGATAAAATTATGTTTTCTGAATGTGTGCCAGAGAAACCTCTGAAAGATTGTGTTGTTTTCAATATTCCCCCCACCCCCCGTTTTCCATCACACTTTAAAATATCTTATACACATTATGATCTTAATGAATTTGTCTCAGCAGGAGGACTCACAGTCACTTTAATGTACCCTGACTACACAGGGGATAATTGAGATATGATCATGTCATAATGATGATTGGTCTATAATGATTCTCTGAAATTGAGTCATGCTGGCAGAGGCCCTGTGGAAGGGAATGCTTCCTTCAGACAATAATAAAAGCAACATAAGCAATTCATGGATTTTACACAGTGCTATGGACAGTTCTCAACCTTGAGTGGTCTGTTCTGCTCTCATGGAGATGCTCCTGCCAGATGGAATCCAAAGTCAGATTTGTGGGTACATGACTCCTCCACTCTGAGTATTTTTCCACTGAAAACCTATCCAGCTGAATGTCTGGATTTTCCAGTAAGCTCATGAAAGTGCTAGCTAAGGATGGGGAAGAGGGAAGAATAGGAGGGGGCCATAAACACATGAACAAGAATATGAAATGGATATTGAACGTTGCTAGGAGATGGTGCTATGGAAGTGCTCAGGGCTATGTATGTGTGTGATGAAGGGGAGAAGCCGGTAAGAGGGTAGTCTCCATTTTCTTGAGGTTCATACACTCCAGATTTCATGATAGAAAACCCTGCTTTGATGTGAATAATTGGTTGGCAACCATGAAACAGAGACTCCTATTTCTCTTTCCTCAGCTCTCAGCTGCCTGGGTTTGCTTTATGACATCACACAGTGAAGGAAATGTATGAGACTGCCAGGAAAAAAAATATTTGTGGTTAATGCTGCACCCCAGACAGGGTGAGACCAGTCTCAGTGGGCTGGGGTGGGAGCAGCAGATGTTGGAAGGGCTTCACTGCCCCAAGAGCAGTGATGTCCATACCTGGGAGGAAAAGGGATTTTCCTGACGAGTAGCTGCCTCCTTGGAAAGATCCTGAGCCTGGGACTATACCCCCCAATATCAGTGGTGGACAGGGAGCTGAGGAGCAAATATTTTTGAGAGCATGAAGCCAGAGAGCAGGGACTCGACTAGGGGGAAGCAGGGGAGGTGCCAAGGGCTTAAAGTTCAAGGAGGGTTACTCATAGGGTCATGCAGGTACAGGTTGAGTGCTTCCTTACGTTTTGCAGAGTAGGCACCTGGCTTACCTCACCCTGGCACTGGCCCTGCCCCTGCCCCTGAGAGCAGGTTGCTCATTGCGAGGTGTGCTGGGAATGTTTGCTTGAATTGAGTTACTTAGATTCTGCTACCACTGGATATTTTTTCTTCCTAGTGCACGACACCACCATGCAACAAGAACCCCAGGGCATGTAAGAGTTTGCAGACTGCTAGGCTAAAAATAATCAGGATATTAGTTCCAGTGGTGCTCAGAACACAAACACTCCCCATTTAATATCAGGAAGATACTTCACTGGGAGAGCAAAATTAGAATGCCATTACCATTATGGATGGCATGCGCAGTAGAAAGTTTTCCATCGGAAGGCTTGGCAAGGGCTAGCTCTTCCAACAGATTGGTGGAGTGGGTGGAAGGAAACAAAAGGCAGGATTTTCCCCTCCAGATGTGGCCATCCCTCCTTTCGTCTTAAGGCCGTGAGACATCAGGGCAGTTTGCAGAACGGGGTGGAAGTCTCAGGGTGGCTGCCCTGTAACCACTGCCTTGTAAAGTAGTCTGCTCCTTTCAGAACTTTTGCTAACGTTTTCCATGCACCACGGACATTGCTTATCAGGGGAGGCAATTTAAAAGATGTCACATTCTCTCAGGTTAGTACAGAGCAGGGCTGAATAAATAAGTCATTCAGTGCTGCTTTGGATCTTTGTTCAGTCGAGTTTGACCTTGTAACATGTCATGGGCTCTCGGTTGCCCATGTTCCATTTCCAAGGGGCTCTTTGCAAATCCTTTTCGAAGCTGTCATTTGAATCACTGCTCGTGAAAGCAGCATTTATAATGGCCGCATTGTCCAGACTATCTATGTGCTACTTTGTTGAATTTTCTATGTGTTTACTGATGTTGAAAGGTCTCCTGTGGTTGGTTTCTGCTGAATATTCCTATCTGACCTATCCAATTAGGGTCTGGAGCCCCCACGGAGAGGATAGCTGAGGGACCAGGCACTATTGAATGAGGAAAATGGCTTGATAGGAGTGGTCAGCCTTTTGGTAGAATGGCCAGGGAATCTTTGTTGTGAAAATAAGTAGGGGAGGAGTTCCGGGCCATTTGTTCCTCATTGGCTACACTAGCTTCTCCATTTTCCTTGCTTGGCCGTCTCCAGCACCCACCTACAACAGGGGCTCTTGATAGTCTTCATTTCTGGGAGGTGGAACATAGTCCCCTGGAAAGAATCTTGCTGTCTAGGTCCTCAGGTGCTGCAGACATGATGTACCCCACCATGATGCGACAGATTAAAGATGGCTGAAGATTCTTTGTCATTCTGTCATTCTTTTTTATTTACTTAATATTATTACTATTTTTTTTTGTCCTGGGGATTCATCCCAGGGATGCTTAACCCCTGACCTGTATCCCCAGATCCCCTTTAAAATTTTTATTTTTATTTTTATTTTTTTTTATTTTGAGACAGGGTCTAAGTTGCTGAGGCTGGCCTCAAACTTGCATTCCTCCTGCCTCAGCCTTCCAAGTTGCTGGGATTACAGGCAGGCATTACTGCAACCAGCATGAATGGG